TGAACAAGAAAAGTGCGTGGAAACAAATTCTGGTCGAGCTTGCTGATTGGAGGAATGGCGAAAGAACTCGTTTTGCTGTTTGTTGTGACACAATCATTTGGATGCGAATTGAGCAAAAGCACTGTATGCATCGCACGGAGTTTCTACGACGGGTTTGGGCGAGCAGCTTGCGACGAGGAAATACACGCGCTATATGACTGTGATTTCCAGGTATGCAATTCCAGAATCAGATACTGTTCGCCAAAAAAACACTCTTCTCGCATTTTCACTGTTCACGGAACCACGATTTCGGTTGTACGACGCGATTGCACTGTTCACCGAATGGTTTCGTGCAAAAACTGTCGCCAAAACGAAATGTTTTTTTTCTGTTTCGTTTACTCTAAAGATCAAGTCATGTGCCAAGTTCAAGAGCAAATTAAATAGCCCTCTTGATTGCTATTATAGTCACGGGCTTTAACATACGGGTGGTTACTCGAGTCGCCTTATCGAGTCTTAAAGCCCGCAAATTGCGAGGCGCGGCCTTCAAACGCACTGCGTTTGAAAGTCGCGTTTTCGTGGGTGTAGATGGGGGTAACGTGACTCGCGTCACTTGGGGCTCAGGCCTGTCGTTATCAGGGTATTTTACCCTGATTCCCTGATTTCACAGGGTAGTTTTTTTGCCAACCCTTAATTTTCAGGGTTGGGTTTTTTTTAACCCTAACCTCTTCAGGGTTATATGTCTGTGAACACTTAAAATTTCAGGGTTTGCGTTATCCCAACACTGAGTTTTCAGGGAGTAACGCGTACGAACCCTGAATGCGACATCCATGCGGACCCTGAGTTTCCTCGAAATGGCCCCCTTACGCGTGACGGGGCCCAGTCCATTGAACACGCCCAGCATGCATCACGTGGGGAATCTGCACTCGGCAAGATTTTCGCCGTGTACACGCTGTATGTTGCCATTACAGCAACATTTGCAACCGTCAACTGGCATTCGTGAGTCAGCACGCAGCAGACGATGACAGAATATGATGAGCGTGGCAATGTCCGCCTATGTATCACATCACCCCGCCAATCATCTCTGTGCAGACGATGCCAGCGCAGGTGCGTCTCGCAGTTGACGGTATCGCCATGGCGATACGGGAACCTGGATGGGTTATGCACCATCCATCAAAATCGAAAGATGAGGCCTCTTGGTCCTCTTCCCGTCTTCTTCACCAGCTCCTCCTCCAACCCAGTTTTTTTCATTTTTTCACGTCACAGCTACGAGATGCTCCAGTTTTCTGTCTCCTTTAGTTTCGTCGCGCCGATTTCTCATTTCCATCATATCCGCCGCTTCTAGCCATGGCGGATGTAGGAGACTCTGGTGAGTCTCCCACTGCCGATGATGGTTCTGGACTAGGTAGGGACCCCCCCGTGGAGGTCCGTAGATCCGCTCTAGACATCTTGCGGTCTCCCACCGCAGTCGTTACACCATCACAACCCGTATCTACTCCCGCCGCTCCCTATGTACCTCCGCCCGCTGTCGCCTCATCTAGCCGGGGCCCTTTGGTTCCAGACTGCGAGACAGCCACGACCGTGCGTTACACGGTCGAGTGTGCGTCGACGATTTCATCTGGGAAGAAAGCACGCGTCGGGAAGTACACCCAGAGCACGATAGTCCTCGGCGGGAAGCTACATCGACGGTCGCCGCCTCGCACGTCGCCTGAACCTCAGACCCCTGGTATTCCAGAACCCGAGCCGCCGAATCTCTCAAAGAAGGAACTCATCGAGCAGAAGTATCTCATGGCTGAGCACAAGTATAAGACCAGCTGGCTTCCATTTTTCCCTTGGCTTCTGCTAACGAAAACGAAAGACGGTTACCCTGCTTTGAAGTGCAGTGTGTGCAAGGCTTTCGGCAAAGAGACAACACCGTACTCCAACAGCCACGACGGGGCACGTGACCTGCAGACGCAAGCGATGCGGTTCCATGAACACACGACAGCCCACGAAGTAGCAGTCAAGCGTCAGATGGAGATCGCCGAAGACATCGCCAGCACCCAGAGGCGCATGGAGAATTACGCGAGGATTGACATCGAGGGGAAGCGCGTCATGAGGCTCCTACGCTGCGTCGACTTCCTGTGCAAGTGTGATGCACCCATCAGCATGTACCTGAGGCTACTCCGCTTCATGGCCGAGCAGGAGACACCGGACATTCCGTTGCAGTCTTACGGAGTCTACCTGACACGGTAATGTACTTATTCGAAGTACACCATGTCCTTCATTTTTCAAAAATGTCTAACCAACACCTTGCTGTCACTTCTGGTACTACAGGTATGGCTTCTGTCAGCTCGTCAGCAGCCTGGCAACTTACCTGCATCGCCGACAAATGCACTACATTCTCGCCTCACCCTACCTCGGCATCAACTGCGACGAGAGCACTGACCGTACTCGCGGCAAACATCTTATTGTTTATCTTACCTTCTTGCGTGCGCATCGTGTTGTCACATAGTTTTTTGCTCTCTTGACCGTCGAAAAGTGCGATGCCGCGTCTCTCCTCGCCGTTCTTCTAGCTCACTTGCGAGCAACTGGCATCGACCTCTCCCGAATCACCGGCATGAGCACCGACGGCGCCTCTGTCATGGTCGGCCGAGACAATGGTCTCGTCGCCCGACTTCGCGAGCACATCCCCCACCTCGTCTCGTCGCACTGCATCGCCCACAGGTTAAACCTAGCATCATTTCAGTCGCTTATGGTTCCTACAACTGCTTGTCTAAAATTCTTTCGTGTGCACCATGCAGGGAAGCCTTGGCGGTGAAGGACGCAGCCACTGCTTCTCCAGACTTCGACATGGTCGACCTTGTGATTCGGACTCTGGCCGATCTTCTGGGACGTTCATGTGTCTGGAGTCAACGCTTCAAGTACCTGCAGCGGGCAATACACAACACCAACCTTGAAGTGCAAGGAATTCACACCGTGCGCTGGCTTTCAAGGGGTGAGGCTGTGAGGCGCCTCTGTAAGGTCCTTGGCGCTGCTATCATTCTCTTTTATGAGTACGGGCATGAGCTGTATGAGGTCGTCATCTGTTACAAGTTCCAGTTCTGTCTTTTTTTCCTGGCGGACGTGCTCGCAGTGATGAATGAGCTCAACCTCAAATTCCATAAGAGGGAGGTGAGCTTCTACCACTGTGGCTGTTGTAGTTTTTGTCCCATGCCTCCACGTTTCGAATCACCCTCTGACTCTACTCCCTTGTCTGACACTTCCATCAGGTCGATGTCACCGAAGTGACAAAGGACATCGACGAGGCGACAGGGGACCTCCGCCACCGTTACTTGGAGTGCGGAGAGGTGTTCGGTGGGGGTGTTGAAGGCACGTGGCTTTCGGCTTTCTTGGCGGTCTACGGGCGCGGAGGGGGCAAACGCGTAAAGGTGCGGGGCATCGACAAGGACGGCAACCCAGTCACGCACACCTACACCATGCACGAGAAGCAGATCGACGGGCATGCCTTCCACAGCAAGTATACCGATTGCGAGCGGCTCTGCGCGCAGTTCGCGAAGGACACGATAAGCTTCCTGAAGATGAGGATGCTGGACCTGAACAATCTCGGCCCGACGAAGCTCTTCCGCGTGTCGAAGTGGCCCCGGATGAAGCAGCAGAGAGAGAAGAAGCCGAAGGAGTACCTACATGGCTGCAGTGCCTTGTTCGACAACAGGCTGACATGCTTTTCCTTGCAAGCTGCGCAGAAGGAGCTGGTCACGTGGGCGCCACTGATGCTGAGCCACCATGCCGACGAGGGATTCCATCAAGGCCTGACGAACTACCTCGGCTCGACGGAGTCGACCTTGTGAGAGAGTGCTGCTCGAAGGACGATTGTTGCATTTTTTTTGGGCGGTTTTATTCTTCCCTTTGAATGTTGTTGTTTATCGCTAATGCACTGGTCTTTTTCCTTGTACTCTATTCCCCCAACCCTTTTAGCAGGCGCTGGCCGAACCTCATGCGCTTGTGGCAGGCGTGCGATGTCCTGCCGCTTAGCACAGTGGAGTGTGAACGAGGCTTCTCGCAGCAGAACGTCATCAAGTCATGGGTGCGGGGCGCGTTGTGCAATGCGCGCCTCAGCGAGCTGATGGTCATTTCCCTGCTGCAGTACGAGACTGATTGGGACGAGGCCCTTGGGTGTTGGCGCGAGACGCTGAGGCGCCCTGCTAAGTCTATTCTGTTTGCCGCAGCGGAGAGGAAGCGTAAGGCGAAGGCGATTGAGGGGGCAGAAGTGAGGGTGGAGGAGGAGGCAGTCCTCGACTACATGGGGGATTGGGCAGAGGATGAGGGAGAGGGGGAGGGGGAAGTGGGGGGAGAGGCTCCTCCTGAAGTGGAAGACAACCCCTTTCTGTCCGATGACGAGGCAGAAGACGAAGTGAACATGGATGGCCCAGAATTTTAGTCAAGTGTAGCTAGTGTCGTGGAATATTGTGAAGTCTAGACTAGATAGAGGACTTGTAGACTGGCGTGTCGTAGTGGTGCTTTTACTTAACTAGTAGCTGTACATTCCTAGTTGATTTTTCCAAGTGCAATTCAACCCTGATTGTTGCTACCCAACCCTGGAGGTTTCAGGGTTGTAAGTTCCAGAACACTAAGAAATCAGGGAAGTCAAAATTCCAACACTAGGCCCTGAGGGTAATTTTTTTCCCACATTCGACAGCTCAGGGTGCTTTTTTTTGAAACGTCAGCCCAATTGGGGCTGGCTTTCAAGTTCAACGCGGAACGTATTTTGGGACACCAAGTGCCTCACGTTTTTCAGCCGCCCAATATTTGTCGATTTCCATCTAACGGCGGGCAAGTAAAGTGCTTCCCCTCAGTCAATCGAAATATAATCTCAGCCGTCGCACTGCCTGCTTGCAAATCGGACGATCTACGAAAAATCACAAATTCGCGACATGAAATACCCACACGAGTTTTCTGTGTATTTCGTCCAGGCCGATGCTCACAGTTCATACGCAGTGCGTATGAACAATTTGGGCCGCGGGTTTTAAAAGGGAATGTACCCTTCATAATCAATTGAATTATTATATGTACCTTGTATCCTTTTGATATAATCAATCACGTGTTCTCACATACCAGTACAAGGGTTCAACTCAAGTCTTCCGCTGTGCTATCAAGCACTCTGTTACAAGGACTTCGCCTTATGAAAATATCCTTGGGCTATACCCAGCCCAGCACCGTGCAGCCCCTACTCCTCTTGATGTTCCGATATAATCACGACCACGCACGGTGCGTTCTTGAGGCATCTCAGAAGCACCCTCATCAACCTTTGCACCCCCACTAACCGTGCTACCCCTCCTCCTCTTCCTCTTCATGCTCCGAGATGATCACCACCGCACACGGCGCGTTCTTGCTGCAGTGGTGCGCCAGCTCGGTGTGGCTGACGTGGCCAATCTTGGACAGCACCTTCTGGATCGTGTTCTGCTGCAACTCGTGCTTCGAGATGCCGCGGCTTGTAGCGAGTACGAGCACGTCCGCTGAGATCATGTCGCAGAAACTGACCACCGCTGTGGCGACGGATTTTGACTCCAACAGGGCCACCTCGAAACGAACCTGGGGAGGGGGGGTGGGGGGCATACATAGACAGGGAAGACAGGAGAGGGCAGGGAGGGAGAGTACTACAGGCAGGTCGGCTGAAACCATATCGCATGACTGAAGAAACCAACCTGCCTGCCTGCCTGACCCTCAGGCTCTGAGAGTGGGGAGTGAAGGCAAATGCGTTTGAATGGTGTGCGTGAACCATTCAACCCCCCCCACTCAAAGGCTTTCGCGTCTTTCCCACACCACCACTCCCCCCAAGCTCGTCCCCCTTTCCCAAACAACCCCACCACCTGCTCCCCCCCTTCACCTTCCTCCACCCCTAGTTAATCCACCCATGCGACCCCATGCACCAGTTTCTCCCACACTATCCAACCCCCCCTCCTTCCCCACCCATTGAGATCCCTCTCCTCACTCCAGTCAGCCCCCATAACCCCATTTCCCCCCATTCACGCCCCCCGTCCCCCAAGTCAGCCTGTGCTCCCCCATTTACCCTGCATGCCCATGTTCCCCCAAACAGCCCCCCGAATGCACCTCCCCTCTCCTCACCCCCGCCACCCCTCTTCTCCCTTCTGTTCGCCCTCCTCCAGGAAAACCCTCACCACCTGCTTCACCACCTGCCGCGATGCCGCGATGCTGCGATGCTGGGATGCCATGCTGCGATGCCGCGATGCTGGGATGCTGGGATGCTGTGATGCTATGATGCTGCGATGCTGCGATGCTGTGATGCTGTGATGCTGTGATGCACCGAAAAACGCGACTGGACTCCTGCCATGCCACCTCCTATGCACCCCAGTAACCCCCATGCATGCACCCCCCCTTTTCCCCCACACGCTCCCCCCATCTCCCCCACACGCTCCCCCCATCCCCCCCACGCACTCCCCATCGTCCCCAGACTTCAGCAGCGCCCCTGCCCAAAACCCATACCCTCTCCTACATGCCATGCCCACCCCGACACCTTCTCGTCTGCCACGACCCCCACCCTCGCATCTTCCCCTTCCCCGTTCGCCCCTCACTCACGTTCTTCCCTATCTACGCTCCCACCAACATTGACAGCGCCTGGTGGGCATCCCTGTCTCATGTGCGCCGATTCAGCAGCACGGGAGGGAGCCATAACGGCGCGGAACTGTGAGGTCAAATCCCAATCCAACGCCTCCTCTTTAAACCCCTGTTCGAACCCTCACCACACAGTACACGCTTGTATCTGACTGCACCACCCAGACCGTTTCCGACCGACTGGCATTTTCGAGCCCAGGCCCGAACGTTGCGGTTTAGACCTCTCGGTTCCGCACCCTAACCGGTCTGTACCTACTCACGTCCCCTCGCACATATCCCAAACTATCAGGACACCCTCACGAGCCTATGGGTTCGTGTCCCTGTCTAACTTAAAGCCAGAGTATACATTTTGGTTGGGGATTTCAAAATTTGAAGATTTGAACGTTGGTAACCCCATAGACCTGCCAGGATTCTCTCTCTCTCCCCAGGGCTCCAGTGATTCTCGACAGTTGAAAGAGGGGACCTCGACTGTAGACTGATTGTTCCGTCCCCTCGAATTTGACTCCCCCTCCCTCGATTTCAATTTCCCCCCTCCCTCGACTTCAATCCCCCGCCCCAGCCCCCAATTCCTTAGCCCCCCCCGCCCCCGATTTCCCCTTCCTCTCACCCCCACACAGTCCAAATTCTTCCTTGCTCCCCGCATTCTACTCAGCATTCGATTCCCGCCAGCCCCCCAATTTCGATTCCCCCGAAATCCCCAAATATCGATTCGCCCCGAGCCCCCCAATTTCGATTCCCCCCTCCCCTCCAATTTCGATTCCCCCTCTCGCACCACCCACCCTTGCCGAAATTGACGAGGCAAATTGGCTTCGCTAGAACTTTCCTTTCGCCAGTCAGCATTTGGGAAAGACAAACCTAAATGTAGACGCCGGCTTTAAAGGTGTGTTCCTACCGCGTGTCAAGGTCGCATCTCACGCCCTTGACACAAGGTGGATCAGATGGGCATGGGGAAAATTTGGCACCTCGTGTCAGCTCGGGGCAACTGCTGACACGAGTTTCCCTGACACACGCGTTTGACACGCGGTAGGTAGGAACGCAACCTATGCCTGTGGCCTCGCCGATCCCTGCTGTGCCCGTGCTTCCACCCAATCCTCCAACCCCCAACCCTCCAACCCCCAACCCTCCAATCCCCTCAGCCGTCCCTTGGTCACAACCCCATGCCATCGCTCACCTTTCTCTCTATTGACACCCCACCACCCTGCTTAGCGCCTCCTTAGCGCCTGCTTGGCGTCCTCGTCCCACTCGAGCCGCTACAGCAGCACGGGCGCCGTGGCCTCGTCGATCACTGCTGTTGCTTGCACCCCCGGCTCCCCTGCCCCCCATGCCCTCATGCCCCCATGCACCCATGCACCCATGCCCCCATGCCACATGCATCGCTCACCTTTTTCTCTATCGAGACTCCCACCAGCCTGCTGAGCGCCTGTTTCGCGTCCCCGTCCCACTTGAGCCGCTTGAGCAGCACGGGCGCCGTGGCCTCGTCTATCACGGCGGTGCCCGTGCCGATGGTCGACACGTTGCTGACAGACGGCGCGTGCGGGCCGCTGGTCCCCGTGGCCGTCATCAGCTCTTTCAGCGCCTGCTCCCGGTCGCTGCTGTCCGTGTCCTCGCCGTCCTTTATGGAGTCTGGTGGGGTGGGTGAAGAGGGGAGGGGGGGGAGGGGGGTTGCGGACAGAGTGAGCGTGGGCATTGCTGCCTGCCTGTCGCTGCTGTCCGTGTCGTCGCCGTCCTTTATGGAGTCTGGTGGGTGGCGGGCGGGGAGGGGGCGACATGGAAGAGTTGGTGCCGACAGTCGACTCGTTGCTGGCAGAGGGCGCGTGCAGGGCGTTGGTCCGGTGGCCATCGTCTCGTCAGTTCCTTCGGCGCCTGCTCTCTGTCGCTGCTCTCCGTGTCCTCGCCGTCCTTTATGGAGTCTGAAAAGAGGGGGGGGGGGGGGGGGACAAAAAGGAGTGTTGGGGAGGGAGTGTTGGGGAGGGAGTGTTTGAGTGTTGGTGCTTCCTCTCTGTCACTGTCCGTTCGCCTATTCCCGCCTGCATTGGAGTCTGAAGCAAGGGGAATTATCTTGTGGGATTGGGAATGGCACAGCGCAGGACTCATCATGATGGCATGGTGTGGAGTGTGTGACTCATGCATCTCACTCGCCCAGTCAACTTGCGTGGAATCTGAAGGGGGCAGAATGGCAGACGATGTAAGGGAGTTATGGTGAGGGAATACCTCATAGGTTACTTTACTTCATCGGGTTACTCTACGTTGAGTCCCTGTTCATCACCGTGTGAGGAAGGGAGCAGATCGCCGACAAGCCATCCCTGCTGATTGATCGTACCCCTATCCAACCCAAAGGAACGACAACAATGCCACCATTGTCCCGCATGTGCCACGGAGGAGGTAAACACGGGGATGGAATCTAGGGTTGGCTCTGGGGGAATTTGGCTGCACGTGCAAAAAAGATAACAATTTTCAATGCTGCAAACATTGCAGCGATGGAGGTTGGTAGGGTGTTGCAAATCCGTGGTAACGAAGAAAGGAAGGACGGAAGTGAATTGCGCGATTAAGGACGGAGGTTAGAGGAAGAAAGAGAGACTTGCCTGCTCGGGGCATGCGGAGCGCGGACCGCCACGATGTGCGGTTGTGATAGAGCGCCACGATCAGACGGTCGTCGTGCTTCCGCATCCGCTCCTCCACGAAATCGCGCAGCGCGTCGATGCACATCTCGCAGCCGTCCATCGCCGCGACGATCGTACGGCCCTGATTCACGCTGAAGATGGTCGGCAATCTATGCTTGGCCATCATAGCGCCTGCTGGTAAACGAGCCTCCCGGATCCCCGGTAGTGATTCGGGCTCACCAGAGATTCCCTAATCTCTGGAAAACGAAAACAAGAGCCTATGTAAACTCCTGTTTTAGTCCTAAAAGAAAATAGTGTCTACTGGAGCGAGAACCGGGCACTAGTACTTAGAGCATGGCGGAACAGCCTAGCGCAATAGCTGCAAGGCGGCCATGGATGCGCATTACTATCTGCGCGCGAGCATGGCGTTCCGTGAGATGCGGGTTGGAGAAGGCGAAGGAGATAATTCACGAAAGCACTGGATAAGGGGACCCTCGTTGAGTCGGGTCGCTATGGACGAGTAACGCCTTCCTTGAATAAGCCGTCCTCAGACGAGCCTCCCTCGCAAAAGCGCAGTGAATGAGAAATGTTGGGCGCACGCTAGCGACAAGTCAGAATGCTAGAATGGAGACCCATGATCGGCATTGCGGGGAATCGAAGGGCTCGAGAAGGCCGACTCCTTCGCACTACGGTGCTCAAAGCGCGCTGTTGACCTAGTATATGACACCGGACCTTGCGGGGACTCCTGTGTAAACAGCGCGAGAGCAGAGGAGTCGAAGCAGAGAGCGTAGCGGTACTGAACATGTGAGCAGGGCAACTAATGTCGCGTTGGGTGCATGCAATGCAAGTTAGCATCTGAACTAGGGTGTTCTGCTCTTCGAAGGAAATTAGGAGCTCTTTAGTAGGCGAAGTTGGTGGGAGTGGCAGTTGAGGGGAAAGGAGAATTGTGGGAGTGAACTTTTCTCCTCGTGCGAGGCAGCACACACTAAATACATCGAATAACTAGGTTTGATCTGGAGACCTCCTCGTCGAGGTCTCATGATTCCTTCAACCCTGTCAGCTCCCCCGCTCAACTTTATTTGACCCGACTTGAGAACAGATGCAGAGAAACTTAGTGGTGATCACTAAGCAATAATACTTACACTCTTCTGCTCCAAGAAGCACCATTTTGATTGCGGGTTTTACATTTCGCAGGGGAAGAAAAGATCGCGATGGCAGAGATGGCATAGATGCACCGAGATCGCGAAGAAAGTTCTACAGAGAGCCACCCGCCCTAGTCTCTGGGGAAAGATTTCGAAAAGAAACGCCCCACGTGAAACTCCGTCATACGCCGGGCGTGTTTCCGCGAGAAAATACGTCTGCACGATAGGCAGATGGACACTATGAACAATGACGGGCTTCCGTCAAGCATAATGACTCGTGTCACGAATTGCTAGTGAACCCGACCCGAATAATTGAAAATAGAATGGCTGACACGTGATCGATACCTGTTTGATCAGCCCTCAACTGTTTTTCTAAAGGAACTGTCTCGTTTTTCCATCGTAACGATAAACCCTGAACGGAATATTCATCGCATTTGTTTATAACGAGCACAAACAATGCAGCCTCAGGATTCTTCCTTTCCTGACACCAGAATTTTTGCCACCAATTCAAGCACCTCCCTCTTCACAATGTTGCTGAGCCATTCTCTCTGGGTAGACAATTGCTACTACTCACAGTAGACAAGAACCCAGTAAGGCCGCATCCATTTTCGCGATCCCCAAGGGTCGTGCCTTAGATCGCGTAAGCCACAGCAGCCAGTGCGTGAGGCGGCACAGCAATCGCAACGCACACGCCGATGCCAGGCCCGGTAGTCTCGCCGCCATGGATGCACGCCTCGTGCGCCGCTGCCTCCCCGTCTCTCACGCCTCCAAGAGCCCCGTCCCCCCAGATCCCCCAGTACCGCCGTGCAGCCAGCGCGCATCCGCCTATCCAGTCAAATCTTGCCTTTTTTCCAAGCGGGTGCGAGATTTCGGCGCCGGCGCGAGCGCGGGGCGGGATCTCGCCAGTGCCAGTTCACGCCGCGTTGGCTCCGCGCTCCAGCCTGCTCGTTCCTCGTCCTAGCTTGCATCGTCCTACCTCGCTCGCGCCTCGTCAAGTTCCTGCGTCGCAGGTTGTTTCTCGAAGCCAAATCCATTCTCTGGGTTCGACTCGTTCACCCGTCTCTCTCCGCTCAGATCCCCTGGATCTGCGACGGCATGTCCTTTCGCCAACTCGCCTGCTTTTCGCACAATCCACGACCGCAGTGCGCATGAGGGCGCGTCCCGTTATGCGCAGCAGCGCCAGTAGCGGGGATACCGGTGGCAGCGTCACCTCCCTTGCAGAAACGCCTGCAGAGGAAACACCTTTAGCGAGCGCAGACTCTGTAACGGGGACAGAAGCCTTAGCGAGTGCAGAAGAAGCAAACGGGTCGAGTAGGTCGCAGAATGGGTATGCGCAGGCACGCACAGGGCAAAGCCAGACCTTCGAGGCAGAGCCCGAGGCTCAAAACAGGCAAAGCCCAAACCCTAGCAGGCAGAGAAGCCGAAACCCTAGCTCTGATCGCTTTGAGAGAAGGCGGGAGCAGTCGGACACGCGGCAGGATCTAAATTCAGGGTTTAAGCGCGGCTGGGGTTTTAAAGAGGCAAAAACGCGGGGTACTGAAATCCCCCGGGGGAAGGGTGGTTCGGACCGGTATTCGCGTCATTGGAGCTGGCGCGAGGTTGTATCGGAGCGGGCGGCATTGGAGGTGCAGAGGAAGATTCTTTTGCCCAGGCAGAGGCGAGGGTTTCCAGGGGACAGGGTTTTGGAAAATGTTGAGGCAAGAGGAAGAGCGGCAGGAGGAGGAGTAGGAGTAGGTGGAGAAGGATCCAAAGGTTCCGCTGATGCCTTTTCTGCTGCTGGTACTGGTGCTGGTGGTGCTGGGGCTGGGGCTGGGGCTGCTGGTGATGGTGCTCGTGTTGCTGCTGCTGACAGGGATTTCAATGGAGAGGGTGGGGAGGTAGAGGAGAATGATGAGGGAGTTGGGGAGATCGTGGAGGAGGAATGGGGAGGGGAAGGATTGCGTGGTGATACTGAGTCTGGGGGGGGTGGAAGGAAGGCGAAGAGGAAGGGAGAGAGGAGTGCGGAGGAGGTTGAGGAGGAGGAGGACGAGGTAGCGGAGGAAGAAGGGGAGGAAGAAGGCGAGGAGGAGAGGGATGACAGGCAGGGCGTGAGAGGGCAGGCAGGGGCACGGGCGGGGTGGAAGGAGTGGGAGGGCAGGAGACACCGATACGATAGAGGGAGGGAGGAGAGTGCAAGGGGTAGCAGTGGTGGGAGGGAAAGGGGGAGCGTTGCGGGAAACGGGGAGGAACCTGCTGCTCAGGTGGCGGCTCAGGTGATTTCAGCAGAGAGGAGTGGGGAGGGGCATCGTATTGAGGAGATAGTGGACGGGTGGCGGAGCAACCGATACCACATGATGGAGCTGGTGAGTGCCTGCCGTGATGGTTAACTAAAACTCAACACTTGGAGTCAAAACCCGCACCCCTTGTCCCAACTCACATAAGCCCAACCATACGCGGGTAGATGGACTGGGTGAGTGACGCGTGATGGACCTGGTGAGTGCTTGCCATGTGACAGGAACCCGAACGTAAACCCCTCAACGTAGACACATCAATCCAACTTACACCACCAGGTTTTGCATCTCTGGTCTGCAGCTACCGTGCCCCATGCCCCATGCCCCATGATTCATGACCCATGCCCCATAATTCATGACCCATGCCCCATGCTCCATGACCCATGCCCCATGCCCTATACCCCATGACCCATGCCCTTTGCCCCATGACCCATGACCCATGACCCATGCTCCATGACTCAACACATGACCCATGCCCCATGCCCCATGCTCCATGACTCAACACATGACCCATGCCCCATGCCCCATGCCCCATGCCCCATGCCCCATGATTCATGACCCATGCCCCATAATTCATGACCCATGCCCCATGATTCATGACCCATGCCCCATGATTCATGACCCATGCCCCATGCTCCATGACCCATGCCCCATGCCCCATACCCCATGACCCATGCCCTTTGCCCCATGACCCATGACCCATGACCCATGCTCCATGACTCAACACATGACCCATGCCCCATGCCCCATGCTCCATGACTCAACACATGACCCATGCCCCATGCCCCATGCCCCATGCCCCATGATTCATGACCCATGCCCCATGCTTCATGACCCATGCCCCATGATTCATGACCCATGCCCCATGCTCCATGACCCATGCCCCATGCCCCATACCCCATGACCCATGCCCTTTGCCCCATGACCCATGACCCATGACCCATGCTCCATGACTCAACACATGACCCATACCCCATGCCCCATGCCCCATGCCCCATGCCCCATGACCCATGACCCATGCCCCATGATCCATGCCCCATGCCCCATGCCCCATGCCTCATGTGCCGTACACCATACCGCATGGCAGTCGCTCACTCATCCCAATGCCCCTTAATCTGCAGATTCTGGAGCTCTGGCTGCAGCACGCCCCTGCTCTCTCCCTCAAGGCATTTGACTGGATGCGCCTGCAGCCATGGTGCCGCCCACGCCTCGATTCCTACAGCCTGGCGATTCAGATCGCCGCCCACTCCAGCATGTGCGGACGAGCCGAGGCGCTGTTCGAGGAGATGCAGGCGGACGGCATGCGGCCGGACTCGTTTGTCTTCTCTGTGATGGCGCGCGTGCTGGCGCAGCAGGGGCGGTGGGAGGATGCGATCGGATTGGTGGAGAGGCGGGCGGCGGCCGACGACCCGGAGCTGATGTCATTGGTCAAGTGAGAATCTGCCGAGATTGAAAATCATGAGAACTCTCAAAAGCCAACTCAATCCTGCTGCCCCTCGTGCTCCCATGCTCTCATGCTTTCATGCTCTCATGCTCTCATGCTCTCGTGCTCTCATGCTCTCATGCTCTCATGCTCACATGCTCTCATGCTCTCATGCTCTCATGCTCACATGCTCTCATGCTCTCATGCTCTCATGCTCTCATGCTCTCATGCTCTCATGCTCACATGCTCTCATGCTCTCATGCTCTCATGCTCACATGCTCTCATGCTCTCATGCTCTCATGCTCTCATGCTCTCATGCTCTCATGCTCACTTGCCCTCCGCCCTTCCTGGTTCCCCTTGCCCTACCTGCCCTGCACACGTGATGCGCTACTCACCCGCCTATTCCCGCCGTGCTCCTGTCCTCATCCCCTTTCCGTCTCGTCCCTCCAGGGTGCTGCTTCATTACATGTCCTACTCGCCTCAAGCCGCCGCCCTTACCGCAGCCCTCCTCTCCTCGCTCTCCTCCCTCCCCTCCTCTCCCTCCTCTCCCCCCTTCTCCCTGGACCATGACTCCTACCGCCTCCTCCTCCGCTCCTTCCACTCCCAGGGGCACTTTGCCCTCATCCCCGCCACTATAACGAGTATGATTCAGGCTGGGTTCCCCCTCAGCCAATGGGACGCTGCCATGTGGCTCGAGGCGCTGGCTGCCCAGGGGGATGTGGCGGGGGTTCGGGCAGCTGTGGAGGAGATTTCGGCTCTCGGGCTGCCCAAGCCGGAAAGTTTCCGGGTGGCGCTGTCGCTGGGGTTTGCAAGAGGGGGGGACCTGGATGGGGCTTGGGGCGTGTTTGAAGGTGGGGGGGAGAGTGAGGGAGCGAGTGAGGGAGAGGAGAGAAGCTTGACAAGAGAGGGTGGAGGAGGAGGAGTGGGGGAGAGCGAGAGCAAGAGAGCGGGCGTGGGAGCGAGGCGACCGGATGTGATTAAAAGGGGAGGTCGAGGGGCGTCCAAGAGTGGAGTGGAGGAGGTGACTAAGAGGGGCGTGGAGCCGAGCCTGTACCTGATGCTGCTGCACGCGATGGTGGGGGCGGGGCGGGTGGGGCAGGCAGAGGCGGTGCTGAAAGAGTACAGGCGGGCCGACCTGGCCAGCATATACGGCTTCAGATACTCGGTGAGTCAGTGGCTTGAGGGGTGCGTGAGTGTCTGGCTGGCGTGTGTCTGCCCGGGAAAGGGCTGTGAGAATGTATGGCGTGAGGGCAGGCAGGGTCGGTGGAAGTAGAGTACAGGTGGGCTAACCTGGCTTGATCCCAAGCGCATGTCGTGCAGTAAGCCCGCCTTCCCTTTCCTTTCCGCACTGCCCCCTTTCACTGCCCGTAACCAATGTGCCAGCTTGCACACTATCTTAGGAAAACTTCATACGTAATTTCTCCTCCCCCTCCCCCCACCCCCAACACCCCCCCCCCCCCAATAAAAAAAACGGTTATTTTTTGTTTTTGCTCTACTCCCAACCAAACCAACCCCTCCCCCCCCCCCCTTCTCTCCCCCCAGCGTCCCTACACTGTGCTTCTCTCTGCCTTCCTCCAGGCTGGCGATCTCTCGTCCTTCTCCCGCGTGTGGGCGGCGATGAGGGCAGACGGCCGCTCGGTGGACAGCTATGCGCTTCGTCTGCTAGCCAAGGGCTGCGCTTCTGAGGGCGGGCTTAGGGGGCTGGCAGTGGCGCTGTGGGGGGAGAGGGAGGGGCAGGGGAGGGAGGGGGAAGGGAGTGGGGGAGAGGGTGGGGAGAAGTGGGATGGCGAGGTGGGTGCAGCGGGCATTGTGGTTGGTAGTGGTGATGGCAAAGGTCGTAGGGTAACCGCTGCAGAAGGTGCAACTCCTGCTGCAGAGGAAGTAGCAGCCGCAGCAGCAGCAGCAGCAGCAACAACAGCAGAAGAAGTGAATCCATTGCTTGATGTGTCAACCGAGGAGGTAGCAGCCGCAGAGAGGGAATACCCGGTGCTGGCAGCGGAGCTCAGGGGGAGTGAGAAGGCGCTTAGAGTGGTCGTTAGATACCTCATGAAGGATGCTGACGTGGCTGACGCAGATGAAGAGACTCTTGCTGACGTGGCAGGAAGCGGGGAGAAGGTATGGGGTGACGTGGCAGTGCACGAGGAGCGTGAGATCGCTGCAGGGGATGACGACTCGTCAGCAGAACCGGAAGTAGAGATTGAGACACGTGGTGACATGGAGGCAAGCGTGCGGCAGTCGGTCGTGCGGCACTCGGGCGTGCGAGAATTGATTCTTGAGGACACTGCGGAATCAGAGCGTGGTTGGGAGGGTCGGGGTGAGGGGGAGGTGGAGGGTGAGATGGTGGCGCATCGTACTGTGATTGAAGGAGCGGAGGCGGTGGAGGAGGCAGGGGGGGGAGAGAAGGAGGGAGCGACTGCTGAGCAAGAGGGAGAGCGGGAGGAGCTGGGAGGGTCAATGATGGAGGCAGACGTGGCGGGAGGACAGCGAGGGGAGGCCGGAGAGATGGGTGAAGAAGATGGGCACAGAGAGGGAGGAGGAGAGAGAGATATGGAAGGGGTAGGAATGCGAGGAGCAGTAGGAGAGGTGCTGGGTGTGGAAGCATTAACAGAATTGGCTGTTGAATGGGAGGCCAATTTAGCAGAGGAATCTGCAGCGGTGGCATTAGCGGTAGTGGAGGTACCAGCAGCAGCAGCAGCAGCAGCAGCAGCAGCAGCACCAGCACCCCCAGCACCAGCAGGACCAGCAGCACCAGCAGCACCAGCAGGACCAGCAGCACCAGCAGCAGCACCAGCAGCACCAGCAGCACCAGCAGCACCAGCAGCAGCACCAGCACCAGCACCAGCAGCAGCACCACCACCAGCACCAGCAGCAGCAACACCAGCACCAGCAGCAGCACCACCAGCACCAGCAGCAGCAGCACCACCAGCACCAGCACCACCAGCAGCACCAGCACTAGCAGCAGCAGCACCACCAGCACCACCAGCTCCACCAGCAGCTGCACCTCCAGCACCAGCAGCAGCGGCCGAGATAGCAGAAGCTAAAATTTCCAGAAGCGAAGGAGAGGTTGGCGGAGGGAAGAGAGAGGAGGGACATGGCGCATCAACCGTCGCGGCCACTCCGAGTGGCAGCACTGGTGGCAATAGCAGCAGCACCAGTGGCAGCAGCACCGGTGGCAGCAGCACCGGTGGCAGCAGCACCAGTGGCAGGGTTGGCAGCAGTCAAAGCCTGGCAGAGCGTAGGCTGGCGCTGGCATGGGCGGGCACTAGAGTCACACAGTTGGCGGAGGAGGGAGGAGAGAATGGGAGGTCTCTTGGGGGGAAGGGTGGGGAGGGGGATGGAGGAGGAAGCGTGAGAGAGAACGGTAGCAGCAGCCCCGCGCTCAGAAGGCCAATTCTAGGTGGCAGAGTGGAGCCTGATACAGTGCAGAGGAGTGCTGTTGAGACGGATAAGACAAGAGGAGCTACAGTGGTGGAAGGTGCTGTGCGTTCAGCTACAGTGCGGGGTGCTGTAGCAGAGACAGGTATATCAGAGGAGGGTTTGGGCGGCAAACTGGAGAGACGTGGATCACAGGGTGATGACAGGAAGGGGCCTGGATCAGAAGAGGCAGCTGTAGCAGAGGCAGCTGTAGCAGAGGCAGCTGTAGCAGAGGCAGCTGTAGCAGAGGCAGCTGTAGCAGAGGCAACTGTATCAGGAGCAGCTGCAGCAGAGGCTACTGTAGCAGAGGGTGCACTGGAGGAGGTTGCAGCAGAGGAGATGGTAGCAGCAATGGGTGGAGGGGTGGCAGAGTTAGAGCATGGCGCTTCAGCGAATCCGGCTGTAGCAGTGGCTGTAGCAACTGAGGCGGCACCAGAGGAGGTTGGTCAGCATCAAAGTACGAGTCAACAGCAAGAGGTGATTGGCCAGCAGCAGCAAAACGCTCAGCAGCAGCAGCAGCACGCTCAGCAGCAGCAGCAGCAGCAGCAGGCATTACCAGTACAGGCCAGTCTTGAGGAAAAAAGGGGCGGGGCGAAAGTGGTTGGGCCAGAGGGACTAGCAGGAGACAGGAGGAGCAGAGCAGGCGACAGGGTTGGTGACAAGATAGGTGACTACGTGCAGAGCACGTACTGGGGGGTGGTGTGGGACCCAGAGAGTGGGGCAGAGGGAGGGGAAGGGAGAATAGGGGGGAGAGGGAGAGGAGGGATGGGTGGAGGAAGAGGAGGAGGAGGGGGAAAGGGAGGGAGAGAGAGGGAGGCGAGGGTAGGGGAGCGAGTGAGGGAGGCGTTGGAGGAGTTAGAGAGGGCGGAGGAGGGGGAGCTGCGGGCGCGGTGGAGGGAGCTGACGCGCGAGGCAAAGTCAGGTGCAGGGGAATCGGATCAGGGCGGGGTGCATGCGGGCAGAGAGGGCGAGGAGGGTGGGGAGAGAGGCGTGGCGCAGAGGGGAGGGGGGCAGACAGGCGGGGCGCAGAGAATGAGGCGAGGGGCGGTGCAGAGAGTGGCGGTGACTGGGGGGATGATGGAGGAGAGGCGGGCGCGGCTGAGGGGGGATAGAGTCAGAGTGGAGCCGGGGGTAAGGCGTGGGGTGGGAGGGGATGTGGGGGAGGAGGGGCGGGAAGAGGAGGAGGAGGGGCGGGAAGAGGAGGAGGAGGGGAGTGAGGGAGTGGAAGAGGAAGGGAGTGAGAGGGTGGTGGTGTGGAAGTGGGTGGACCCGAGAGAGGCTTGGCTGTTCGTTAAAGAGCGCATGGTGAGATTCCCAACCCACCCACCCACCCACCAACCCACCCACCTACCCACCCAATCGTGAGAAAGGGCTGCCTGGTGAGTCGATTTAAAGAGTCACTGCTGCACGTGGTGAGAAAGGGGCAGGGAAGATGCGATTCATGTTGGTCGTGATAACTGGCGATGCATTCACACTCTGCTGCCTCGTAAGTGGGCACCTTGGTCCCAATGTGCCTCCGTCTCTTGCCCTGCAGTGCATGTTGGCCACGTCGCCCCACGCATGTTGTGGGATGGGAAGCGATGGCAGTGATGTGGAGTAGGCTGTCCCTGGAGGCAGCTCCACACCTTTGCTCTTCTCCCCCTCCCCCACCCCCCCCCCCTTTCTTCTCCCCCTCCCCCACCCCCCCCCCCCTTTTCTTCTCCCCCTCACCCAACCCCCCCTTTTCTTCTCCCCCTCACCCAACCCCCCTTTTCTTCTCCCCTCTCCACTCGTTCGCGCCCCCAGGCGGATCCATCCTCCCCCCCGCCTCCCCCGGGCGCGTGGGCGTGTGTTCTCTCTGCTCTGCGCGGGCCCGGGCAGTATGGGCAGCTGAAAGAAGTGTACCAGAGGATGGTAGAAGCCTTGAGCCGAGAGAAGATCCAACGGCACAGACAGAAAGAGCAGCACGGGCAGAAAGAGCAGCACGGGCAGAAAGAGCAGCACGGGCAGAAAGAGCAGCACGGGCAGAAAGAGCAGCACGGGCAGAAAGAGCAGCCGGAGTTGCAGGCAGAGCAGGGCGTGAGTGGATACAGTGGGTCCGGTCCTTTTCAATCCCGGAGGGACGGCAGTGAGAGGCACATATCAGGGGCCAACAGCGGTGGCAGTAGCAACAGCCATGATAGCAGTGAGAGTGGTGCAGTGGTCATGTGGGGGTATGGGCGGCCGTTCAATCTTGTGCTGATGTCAGCATGCCGGCAGGGAGCAGCTGATGACGTGGCAGCTGTTTTCAGAGACATGCTCGCGCATGAGATCACGCCATCATGGGTATGTCACGACATCATGGGTATGTCACGACATCATGGGTATGTCACGCCATCATGGGTGTGTCATGCCAACATGGGTATGTCATGCCATCCTGGGTATGTCACGACATCATGGGTATGTCACGACATCATGGGTATGTCACGCCATCATGGGTGTGTCATGCCAACATGGGTATGTCATGCCATCCTGGGTATGTCATGCCATCATGGGTATGTCACGCCATCATGGGTGTGTCATGCCATCATGGGTATGTCATGCCATCATGGGTATGTCATGCCATCATGGGTATGTCACGCCATCATGGGTGTGTCATGCCATCATGGGTATGTCATGCCATCATGGGTATGTCATGCCATCATGGGTATGTCATGCCATCATGGGTGTGTCATGCCATCATGGGTATGTCATGCCATCATGGGTATGTCATGCCATCATGGGTATGTCACGCCATCATAGGTATGTCACGCCATCATGGGTATGTCATGCCATCATAGGTATGTCATGCCATCATGGGTATGTCATGCCATCATGGGTATGTCAAGTCATCATGGGTATGTCAAGCCATCATGGGTATGTCATGCCATCATGGTTATGTCATGTCATCATGGGTATGCTATGCCACAATGCATGGGTGTGTCAATGTAACATGCATTGTGATATCCATTTGATTATCAATAACATCCATTTAGTTATCGGTAAACAACTGACAGTTGTTTACCTGTTGATTAAGCATCGAAACCCTATTCTTCTCTCCGATGTTGAACCCTTTTGAACCTCTCTTTACTCCTTCCACCCTTTCCACTTAACTCTCCCCTCCCCTTCCCCCTCCCCCTCCCCTTTCCCTCCCCCTCCCCCTCCCACTCCCCCTCCCCTGCAGAAGTCACTGCACTTCGTGCTGAAGGGGGCATGCGGACCTGGCCGGCCCTTCCCCTCGCCCGCCTCGCTGGTGGCCTTTGTTGCTGCCGCCACCTGTCACCAGCTGGAGGCAGAGGCACCTGCATCTGAGCCCATGACAGCTGTCGCTGTTACGTCTCCCGCACTTACATCTGATACGGTTACCTTGCAGCAGGCAGGTACACCTCAGCTGGTTACATCTGGGCCGGTTACATCTGACGAGGTTACGTCTGCGGCAGTTACATCTGGCAGCACAGGCTTATCCGAGCACGGCCAGCAGGTGTTGGAGAATCTCGCAGTGCTGCTCAGCGGAGAGCCGTGGACCGTTGATCGCCTGCGATGGAGTGCCGAGATCGCAGAGTGCGTTCAGAGGGCTCAAGACAGCCCCATTCTCCCCTCGTCTGTGGCCAAGCGGTTCTTCTATGCCGCTAGGAGCCTGAGGCTGGTTGGCAAGGGGGAGGAAAACAGCCTGGTGCACGTTGATAGGGGCGGAGGTTCAGTGGCAGGGGAGGAGAAGGATGGAGGGGAAGGGAGAGGAGTGGAGGTCCGAGTGGCTGGGAGTCGGTCGGTGCGGGGAGGAGGTGAGGAGAAAGAGGAGTTGGTTGAGTCTGGAGTTGAAGCGGCGGGACAGAGTGCTGGTCGCTTTGAACCAGTTCGGCCAGACGAACGAGGCGAGGAGGAGAAGTGGGAGGGAGGCTCGGTGCTGGACCTAGGCTCGGAGGAGGTTCTGGAGGAGCTAGCCAATAGGATGGAGGCACTGGTGCAGGCCAGTGCTGCTGCCCGGCAGGCGGCTTGGGAGGAAAGATCTGCCCGGCGGGCAGCTGAACGGGCAGAGCGGGCAGCGAAACAGTTGGCTGGGGAGGCGGAGTGGAGGGAGGCGAGGGAGAGGGAGAGTGGGGTGGTTGTGGAGAGATGGGAGAAGGGGAGAGGGACGGTGAAGCGGGTAGATGAGGCCTGGACTCAGGTGGTGGGGAGAGAGAGGGGGGTGGTGGTGAGTGAGAGAGGGGTGGTGGTGGTTGGGCACGGGGTGGGGGAGAAGGGAAGCCAAGGGAGGGGGCATGAGGGAGGGGGACGAGGCGAGGAGGAAGGGGGGAGGTTTGAGGAGGAGGGTGATTGGGCGGAAAGAGGTGGCGTGGGGGGGGAAGGCGAGAGGAGGGAAGGCGTGAGGAGGGAAGGCGTGGGGGGGGAAGGTGTGAGGGTGGAAGGCGAGAGGGCGGAAGGCGTGAGGGTGCAACAGGAGGGTGTATCTTCGAGCGTGGGGGCTCGGGTCAAAATGCTGCAGCAGCGACTGGTGAGTCTCTCCGGGCGCAGCAAGCGACCAGGTCGTCGTTTTGACACGCTTTTCCTCAGTGGATTGCCGTCTTCTGCTCTTCGAGGTGACTTTTGAGTCGACTCAAAAGTCACCTTCTGCACTTCTCTCGCCTTCCTCTTGCCCCATTCGCCTTCCCCTTCCCCTTGCCCTCCCAGGCACTGGGCATCCTCCCAGACCCCATCTCATGCGAGAGACTTCTCAGAGCGCTCCGCGTCGCCTCAACCTCCCGCCCTGCTAGCGCTGCTGCCCCGGGCGCGAGCCCAGGCGCCTTTGCAGCTCTGCTCTCCCCGCCTTCGTCCTCCGCCCCCACCTCTCCACAACCCCCCGAGCTTCCTTCGGTCCCGTCATACCCACCTGCTGAGACAGCTGCCCCTCTACCCACAGCAAGGGCTGTGTTGTGGGAGCTGGTGTGTGCTGGTGCTGCCCCAACTGCCGCTGCCTACAATGAGGCGATGTTGGACGCTGTTGCTGCCGGTGACCTGAGCAGAGCAATCAGGGAAGGGGAGGGTGAGGGGGATGCACCACCACCACCACCATCATCATCATCATCATCATCATCATCATCATCATCATCATCATCATCATCATCATCATCATCATCATCATCATCATCATCATCATCATCATCATCATCATCATCATCATCATCATCATCATCATCATCATCATCATCATCATCATCATCATCATCATCATCATCATCATCATCATCATCATCAGTGGCAGCAGCAGCACCACTACCACCAGCAGGGGCAGCGGCAGCAGCAGCAGCATCTGTAGCAGCGGTGATGGCAGAGGTGGATCGACTATTGGACGAAATGCATCGACGGGGCGAGCTGCCAGACGAGGTGAGTGGTGTGTGGGTGTGTGGGTGTGCACATGTTTGCGTGTACATGTGTGTGAGTGAGTGTGCACGTGAGGGGAGGGATGTGAGAGACTGAGGCAGGTTTGAAACATGTGCACCTTGTATATGTGAATTCACTCTCTCGGATATTATCTGCAATCGCATTACTTTCTTCCCACCTTTCTCTCCCTTGATATTCCCACCGTCGCCTCTTACTCGCTCCCCCCTCTCCTCCTGCGTGAACGCCCCTCAGGACACTGTTCGCATTCTCACTCACTCCCTAGTGGGCCCTCCTCCTCTCCCCTTCTCCTCCCCTGCGCGCCTCCTCTCCCACCTCATTCGCCTCGCCACACTCCACATCCCCTCCCACCCTTCCCCTCCCACCACTGCTGCCACCACTGCTGCCACCACTGCTGCCACCACTGCTGCCACCACTGCTGCCACCACTGCTGCCACCACTGCTGCCACCACTGCTGCCACCACTGCTGCCACCACTGCTGCCACCACTGCTGCCACCACTGCTGCCACCACTGCTGCCACCACTGCTGCCACCACTGCTGCCACCACTGCTGCCACCACTGCTGCCACCACTGCTGCCACCACTGCTGCCACCACTGCTGCCACCACTGCTGCCACCACTGCTGCCACCACTGCTGCCACCACCGCTGCCACCACTGCTGCCACCACTGCTGCCACCACTGCTGCCACCACTGCTGCCACCACTGCTGCCACCACTGCTGCCACCACTGCTGCCATGATGGGAGAAGCATCTGCAGTCACTGCTGTTGGCACAGCAGCCATCGCAGGAGCAGAGAAGGGAGCAATGGCAGGTAGAGGCAGAGCATCAGAGTCAGAGGGTCGCTCCCCCTCTTTCTCCGAGCCTCCCACCTCACCGCTCGCTTCCCCCCTCCTCCACCGCCACCGAACCAACTTGATCACCTGGACCGTCCAAGCCTGCTGCTCCGGCCCGGGCTCGGTCCGGCTAGGTCCGGTGGACTTGCCACGTGTCACGTTCTCACTGGACCTCCTGCGGCTGCTGAGGCGAGAGGGGCAGGAGCCCCCCTCTGCTGCTTGCTGCGCGCCCATTGCTGCGCTGGTGGGGGGAGGGGAGGGGAGGCAGGGGGGGAGGGGGGAGGGGGAGAAGGGGGGCGGTATTGAGGTGCCCCAAGCGCAAGCAGGGGCTATTTCTGAATCCGGCACTCTGCAGGGGGGGGGGAGGGACGCCGCCACCGACGACGACGACGACGCAGGCAGCATGGAGGAGGCCTTCACTGGAGGGGAGGAGGAGGAGAGGGAGAAAGTGGAGGAGTGGATGGAGGGGGAGGAGGAGGGGGAGGAGGCGGGGGAGGAGGCGGGGGAGGAGGAGAGGGGGGTAGCAGCGTTGCAGGAGGCAGTGAGGGTGGTGGATGAGGCGGTGGAGGGGGGATGGCTGCATGCAGGCGACATGGCGGTGGTGCTGCTGCTGGCATATGGGAGGAGGGGGATGCGGGAAGAGGTGAGTGAGAAGCATAATAGAGCCATGGGCGATGGTTGTGTGCGAGAGATCTGACGGTGGTGCTGCTCATGGCGTCTGCAAAGAGAGGGATGAGAGAAGATGTGAGTTGAGAACTGGAGGTGAGTGGATTAGATGCATATACGGAGAGTGTTAAAGCCCGCAGCCCAAAACGTTCATGCTTTAGAAACATGACTGCTACAGTTAGATATTTTGTGAGTGACGATACCGTTGATTTCGGCAAACCTGTCGCGAGTGTATTTCGTTTCGCTTAGTCAGCGAATCCCAGGGGCACTGGTTGGGTTGGCATGCAGAAGTTCCAAATTGCAATGACCCCCACTTTCAAGTTCCCGCAGGCCAATCCACGCAAACCCCCCAGTCAAGATTTCGACCAAGCAGGTGCCTTCGCAGTGTGTGTAACCCCAGTTTCGTGAAAAAAAACGCCCCAAATCGTCAGTTTTCATCTTTCTAAAGCTTGAACCACGCGACACGCAATTTGAGACTCGGGCTTTAAGACAAGGATTGGGCATGCTTACATACACGTTGCCAATGTTACACTGTTCCCCGTGTACCTACTTGCACACCCCCCCTTCCCTTGTTCGCCCCAGTAGAGAGTTACTGAGCTGCTTCTTCCCACCTGCTCTTTTCTCAGCCCACACCCCTAAGCCAAGCGCCTTCAAGGACTCCTTGTCTCACCCTATGCACTCCCTTGCCCCAGCTCTCCCCTCCCTTCCCTGCGATTAGGCCGTTTCCCTCCTCCTCCTCCTCCTCCTCCCCTCCTCCTCCTCCTCCTCCTCCTCCTCCTCCTCCTCCTCCTCCTCCTCCTCCTCCTCCTCCTCCTCCTCCTCCTCCTCCTCCTCCTCCTCCTCCTCCTCCTCCTCTTCCTCCACCTCCTCCTCCTCCTCCTCCTCCTCCACCTCCTCCTCCTCCTCCTCCTCCTCCTCCTCCTCCTCCTCCTCCTCCTCCTCCTCCTCCTCCTCCTCCTCCTCCTCCTCCTCCTCCTCCTCCTCCTCCTTCCCAAGACCACATCCTTCGGCCGAGTGGCATCAGGCACTCCTTGACTCCCTTTTATGCGCCCCCCTGCTGCCCCTGCATTTGATTCAAGTGTGCAGCAGTTGCCTTGAATTCCCTCTGCACCCCCTACCTGCCCTGTCCCTCCCCACCTCCCCACCCCCGCGCGCCCGTCAGGCCTTCTTCCTCCGCCACCTGCTCTCCAGAGCCAACATCCCTCTGCCGGCCGGGCGGCGCTCCGCTGCAAGAATCGCCCCCCTGAAATGTGACTCCCACTTTGCACCCCCCTGCTGCCCCTTCCCCCCTCCTCCTCCCCTCCCCCCCATCAGGCTTTTTCTCTCCTCCACCACCTTTCTCAAGCGCATATTCCTCTGCCGGGCGGCGCACTGCTGAATGTGTTGCGGGCCGCAGCGGCGCACGGTCGGGCGGACTTTCTTGTCTTCTTGCTGCGGGAGTGGATAGGGCCGGATGTGACTGTACTGGGGGGAGCAGGGGCGGTGGAGGAGGTGCTGGTGCTGCTGGTAACGTGCAGGCGACCGCACCAGGTAGGGGAACAGGTGATAGGGCGATAGGGCGTTCTCTAGTCACCGGAACAGACAGTGCGTAGCAGGGGCCAAGGGGCGGGGGAGGAGGTGCTTGTACTGCTGGTGACGTGCAGGCGACTGCACCAGGTGGGTGGTGGGGGCTGGCAGGGGCGGCTGAGGCGGTGCTGGTGCTGCTGGTGACGTGCAGGGTGCAGGCGACCACAGCAGGTGGGTGTTGGAACTTGGGTGGTGGGGTAGAGCACAGAGTGCGTGATAGTAGGGTGGGCAGTGAGCAGCAGGGAAGGGAGCCACGTTGGGGTAGGCGTTTGAGTCGACTCAAGGGGCGGTTGGGGCTGCTGGTGACGTGCTGGTGACCACACTGCGTGGGGTCCAAGGGCAGACTGGAGAGCACAGCACCAGCAGCACCAGCACGCGGTGTGGTTGTAGGGTAGACAGCTGGATGACAGCTGGATGTCCAATTATTGGAACGGTGTACTCAATACTGTACCATGGTCCTCCAGTCAGCTCACAGGGCAATTGAGGCGGTTTTGGTGCTGCTAATGACATGCAGGCGACCACACCAGGTACAGCTCGGGGTAGGTAGGACAGAGCAGAGGGCGCACAGCTGGTGCGATAGACAGTTATGAACTGGTGTTGGGTGAGATGTTTCATGTCTTCGAGACTTCTCAACAAGTATTGGAACGGTGTGTTTTGTTTGCTAAAATTCCAAGAAACATAAACACTTACACATCTGCTGTTGGGGTGGGTTTTTGAGTGCTGGTGATTGAGACGGTTTCGCTGCTGCTAATGCTATGCAGGCGACCACACCTGGTTGTGAGGTGGGCTCTAACCCCCTAACACGCCTGCCTTCCTTCCTCACCCCATCTCCGCCGTCTTCGCTCAGGCGCCGCCTGGGAGCATACCCCAGCATCTCTCCCTCGGTGCCCCTGCTGTCCTCACCCCCGTTTCCCTGTCCTGCCCTCACCCCTCCCCCCTGCCAGGGCTGTATCTTGGTTCTGGCACTACCTGGGAGCATTACCCCACGCCCATCCCTCCTACTGGGTACTGCGCCTTCTGCAGTCCTCCCTTCCCCATTTCTCTGCCCTCCTGCCCATAACTGCCACCCGCTGCCATCCCCTGCCATCCCCTGCCAGGCTGTGTCTTGGTTCCGCCGCCGCCTGGGAGCATACCCCAACGTTCCCCCCTCCCACCGGGTGGTGCGGCTGCTGCTGCAGGCGTTGCGTAGGCGGAGCATGTGGCACGAGATGCTGGACGTGCTTGCGGCTCTGAGGGGCTACGAGGGCTTTCATGATAAGGTGAGAGTGGAGGTGTCTCGCGGTGTGCGAGGCACGGGGAAGAAGTGAGGGCGGGCCACGATGCATGTGGCACGAGATGCTGGGCGTGCTTGCATCGCTGAGGGCCTGTTCATTTCAGGCCAGTTACTCCATTGTTGTGTGAACCCTCCTTCCTGAGGTGACTTTGAGTAAACTTTCAACTCATATCATCCTGCACCCTACCATCACCTTGCAGACCAATTACTCCATTGTGGTGTGCACTCTCCTTCCTGAGGTGACTTTGCGCCCTCGATCCCTATCCCCTCACCTTCCCCCCCCCCCATTCCGCGCAGGCCAACTACTCCATTGTGGTGCGCACTCTCCTCCATTGCCGCCAGCCCAAGCTCGCCATCGCTCTCTTCCACGAGATGCTAGCATCCGGGGTGTTACGGTGCGACAAGTACGGCCGGGTAGCGGTGAGCGGCGTTGGGGATGTGAAGCTGTTACAGGCGGTGCGGCATGCGGCTTTCCTTGTGGAGGACAGGGAGGTGCTCAGAATGGTGGGGAAGTTGACGCATCAAAACAAGACTTGGAGCTTCGCATTCAAAGGAGCTTCCGGAGGAACTAGGCAAGCCCAAGCCAGCAATCGATCCCTTTCGCTTCATGCTGGTGGCTCCAGTGCTGCTGAGAAGCACCAAGAGACGGGTACCGGTAGTGGTGAATGATGCTGTACGTGGGAGACTTTGTGCAAACAACTTTACTCTCAAGGTAACGATTTTTTTGGTAGAATGAGGGGATACAAGGGGATATAACCTAATGTGTTGTACTCTCTATGATCATGCACCTATCTAGCCTATAACATATACAATTATATGTTGACACACCCACTAGGCTAGACAAGGGGCAATGCCTAGCACAAGACACGCAGCTTAGGGTGGCACTACTAGTCCAACCTCTGAGACAAGGGTCTGAAGACCAGTCAGCAAGAGTACTAAGGAAACAAGATTAACCCAGGGCGGCACTACTAGTCCAGCCACTGGAACAGGAGCCACAAGGCCAGTCAAGATAATATAAAGAGTAGTACACAATCAAGGTCCTAGCAAGTGAGAAGCTACCGGAACTAGTGCCGCTGATGGTCTTTAGGCGCAAGCGCCTTCGTAAAGATATCAGCTGTGTTGGCGCCGTAGGCCAAGTGTACTACGCGAGCCTGGTGGCGCTGCTGTAGCTCGCGCAGGAGGAAGTACCGCAGCTGGATGTGCTTCGCTCTGCCCTCCCGTCCAGGCTCCTGACACAGGAGGATCATGGCCCTATTCTCAGAGTACAGGACCAGTGCAGAGCTAGGCCGCTCACCAAAGTTCGTGAGCAAGAAAGTCACCCAGCGGAGCTCCTGTGCCGCCATGGCACCGGCGTAGATCTCAGCCTCACAGCTAGACTGGGCAACAGACGACGAACGGGTGGACCTCCACGAGATAACACATGCACCAACGCTAAAGCAGTAGCCCTGCGAGGATCTGAGCGTGTCAGTGTCGTTTGCCCACGAAGTGTCTGTGTTTCCTGTAAGGACAACCGGCCTGCATCCTCCTAGCACTAGCCCCATGTCCGATGTACTTGCTAGATAACGCAAAACCCTCTTAGCGGCCGACCAGTGCTGTAGTCGGTGTCTGCCTGTGGCCACAACGTGAGCGAGGATGCTGAGAGGGTATGTGAGATCTGGACGAGTGCAAGTCATCACGTACATGAGGCAACCCATTAGCTCTGCGTAAGGACCACTAGGCTCTACAGAATCCTTAGGGACTAGAGCCGAGAGCCTGTAATCTACTGGCAGAGGTGTGGGTTGTGCAGAGGAGAACTGAAGACCGAACCTCTGAAAGACCTGGCGCACCAAGTGTGACCGGGGAAGAGTGATGGTGCGCGCTACTCTGTCCCTGGAGTTCTACAGGCCAAGGTAGTGGCGCAACTCTCCTAGGTTAGTGCAGGTGTGTCTCCTCAGCAGCTCGGCCTTCACGGAGGCCAGTGCGTCTCTATCTACAGTAGCAAAGACCAGGTCATCTATATAGACAAGGATGTAGAATGGAGTCTGGCCAGCACGAACAAAGAGCGAAGGGTCTGCAAACGACAGGAAGAACTGCAGGTCAGCTAACGTAGCACAAGGCATGTCATGCCACTCGCGTGGCGCCTACCGCAGACCATAAACCGAGCGCTGGAGGAGTCACTCGGTCCCCAGGGTGAAGGTGCCGGTAAAGCCTGGCGGGCGACGCAAGTAGACCTGCTCGAGCAGTTTGCCCTGAAGAAACGTTGTGGAGAAGTCGAGAGAATGCAACTCGTAATCGCGCTGTGCTGCTACGTGTAGTAGCACCCGAAAAGTAGTCATCTTCGAGGTCGGGGCAAAGGTCTTGAAGAAGTCAACACCCTCGCGCTGACTGTAGCCTCTAGCAACATAGCGCACCTTGGATGCCGGCGGCTCTCCAGGAGGGCGCTTCACCGTGAAGAGCCACCAGCCATCGACTATGTTCAACCCAGGTGAGGGAACAGCATCAACGTACTATAGGTGCTGGTGGATCTCCAAGATGCCCTCTCCGCGTCCATGGCACCTATCCACTGAGAGGCCCAGGGTCCCGAGGTCGCCTCAGCATAAGTGCAAGGGGTCGGCATGTCAAAGGCCGGTCAAGGGAGGGAAGACCGAGGAGATGAAGGACGGACATCGGCGGCCACTGCTGCTGCTACAGCTGCTCCACGCCTACACCAGAACCACCAGCTGCACCACGGCTTTTTCCGGGACACTCCACGCCAACACCCCTTGAGCGAGAACCTTCTCCAATACCGGTGCCACCCCCAGCGGAGGGACTAGCATGGAGCCTAGGCTAAACAAAGAAGAGGGTCCTATGCCTGACGCAGCAGGGGAACCGACACTACACACATAAGACAAGCCTACACTAGGCAAAACCGGGTAATAGGGTCCAGTCACACTAGATTCATCAGCATACATGGCATACATCGCAGACCTAATCTGATCCATCTCCATCTCAAAGACAGGTACACAACGACGCACCAGGCTATACCAGTGGGGGGGGTCCGCCGTGGGGCCGAAGCGGAAACGTAAGAGGTCGTCGAGGCGGAGGTAGCAGCGCGCGGCGGTGTGACTGGGACGGTCGCAGACGGTGCCGCGACGGGGGTCGGACTGAAGCTGGTACTGACAGGTGACCACACTGGAGCCGCCACCCGATACTGAGCTGCGCCCCCCACCACCGCGACCACCACCGCCAGCGCCGCCAGTCCACCACGGCGGCGGGGGTCCCCACGGCAACTGCTGCTGCTGCTACGGGGCACCAGCCCTGGTCCCCTCGTCTGAACCACCATCCCCGCCCCCACCTCCGCCACCCTCACCACCCCCACCACCCTTCCCTCCACCATGCCCCCCCTTGGGACGGCGGCCCCTACCCTGACGCGGCAGCGCTGCGGCCGCAGCGGCGGTCTTTGCAACAGCGGCAGAAACGTCAGAGTAAGTGCACTGGGAGGGAGCACAGCACTGAAAGATAGGGACCGCCGCAGTGCCGCTAGACTGAGAGATAGTGTGCTGGCGGGTCTCTATTGCGAACAGGGCGGTGACAAAGGCGGTAAGGGTGAGGTCACCTAGGTGCTGACTAAGGAAGTGGTCGTGGGCAGTGGCTAGGCGGTTAGAAGGGCACGTGTCAATGAGGTAAAGGGTAGCGCAAAGCGACGACGGGAAGGCAGTGAGCTGGGCCTTGGTGCTCCCGGCGCGGTAGCTAGTCTCAAGTGCGCGGAGGTGGATGGCAAGGTCAGCGACAGTGGGGAAGGACGCAAGATCAGGGAACAGCATGGGGAGGATTAGGCGGCTAGCAGAGGCTGAGGAGGGCGTGGAATAGCGCGCAACGACTGCATCTAGGAATTCCTTGGCGTTTGCTACAGTGGACTAGGACTAGGACTAGGGCTAGGGCGGAAGCGCGGGTGGGTGGGGAGGACCTAGCCTAGCGTGATACCATCTCAAAGTAACGATTTTTTTGGTAGAACGAGGGGACACAAGGGGATATAACTATCAAAGTTAACGAATGAATAGAACCATGGCATACAAGGGAATATAACCTAGTGGGTTGTACTCTTTAAGGCACAACCCTGTATAGTCTATGACAACATACAAAGATATGTTTGACACACCCCCTAGACTGGATAGGGGAACTGCCTGGTGAGAGACAATCAGCTCAGGGTGGCACTACTAGTCCAACCTCTAAGACAAGGGTCTAAAGACCAGTCAAACAAGTACAAACAAGGCAAGAGAAAAACCAGGGCGGCACTACTAATCCAGCCACTGGGAAGGGGCCACAAGGCCAGTCACGGTAATATATATATAAAGGTATGTACACAATCAAGGTCCTAGCAAATGAAAGGCTACAGGAACGAGGCCAAGCTATACACAGTGCCGCTGATGATCTTTAGGTGCAAGTCCCTTCGTAAAGATATCAGCTGTGTTGGCACCAGAGGCAAAGTGTACTACGCGGGCCTGGCGAAACTGCTGTAGCTCACGCAGCTGGATGTGCTTCTCTCTGCCCTCGAGTCTAGGCTCCTCACACAGGAGGATCATGGCCCTGTTGTCAGCGCACAGTACCGGGGCAGAGCTAGGCCGCTCACCTAAGTCTGTGAGCAAGAAAGTCAGCCAACGGAGCTCCTGTGCCGTCATGGCGTCGGCGTAGATCTCAGCCTCATAGCTAGACTGGGCAACAAACGACGAGCGGGTGGACGGCCACGAGACAGCACATGCACCAAGGCTAAAGTAGTAGCCTTGGGAGGACCGGAGAGTCTCGGCGTCGTCGGCCCAAGAAGCGTCTGTGTGCCTGGTAAGGACCACTGGTATGCGTCCTCCTAGTACTAGCCCCATGCCTGACGTACTTGCTAGATAACGCACAACCCTTTTAGCTGCCAACCAGTGCTGTGGTTGGTGTCTCCCGGTGGCCACAAAGCAAACCAAGATGTTGAGAGGGTAGGCGAGATCTGGAGGATTGCAAGTCATCAGGTAAATGAGGCAACCCACCAGCTCTGCGTAGGGGCCACTAGGCTCTACAGCCTCCTCCAAGATTGGAGAAGAGAGTCTGTGGTCTACTAGCAGAGGGGTGGGCTGTGCGGAAGAGAACTGAAGGCCGAACCTTTGAAGGACCTGGCGCACCAAGTGTGACTATGAGAGAGTGATGGTGCGCGCTGCTCTGTCCCTGGAGTCCTGCAAGCCAAGGTAGCGGCGTAGCTCTCCTAGGTCAGTACAGGTGTGTCTCTTCAGCAGCTCAGCCTTCACAGAGGCCAGCGCGACTATGTCAGCAGTAGTGAAAACAAGGTCGTCTACGTAGACAAGGATGTAAAACAGAGTCTGGCCAGAACGGATGAAGAGCGAGGGGTCTGCAGAGGACGAGAAGAACTGCAGGTCAGCAAGTGTAGCACGCAGCGTGTCGTGCCACTCACGGGGCGACTATCGCAAGCCGTAGACAGGGCGCTGGAGGAGCCACTCGGTACCAGGGGGAAAGGAACCGGAAAAGCCCTGGGGGCGACGCAGGTAGACCTGCTCGTGTAGACTTCCCTGGAAGAAAGCTGTAGAGAGGTCGAGGGAGTGCAGCTCGTAGTCACGCTGCACTGCTACGTGTAGCAGTGCCTGAAGAGTAGTCATCTTCGGGGTCGGGGCGAAGGGCTGAAAGAAGTCCACCCCCTCACGCTGTCTGAAGCCTCGAGCAACGTAGCACGCCTTGAAGACGGGCGGCTCTCTAGGAGGGTGCTTCACCTTGAAGAGCCATAGGCTATCGACTACGTTCACCCCATGTAGGGGAACTGCGTCGACGAAGGTACCGATGGATC